GATAACGCAAATTTATGGCGTTCTCATTATGTTGAAAGGATGAAATGTGACGAGTGCTCGCGCATGTTATCAAATACCATCATAAGACTAACTGTTCGTGGTATGCCTCACCTATGTGATAGAATAATTATGACTGTGTGTATAAAATTATTGGTTGTTGATCTTTTGCATTAAATTCAGTTCTTTGGTTTCTGCTTGATATAATGTACTTGTTGATGTAATGTAGGGTGAAAGTTTTACATGCATGCGTGCACATGCAAATTAAACACAAATGAATGTGATAGTAGATTGTGATAATTGTGAATTCGCAAATTTTAATTAACAAATGGTAAACACCACAGCGTACACTATTGAGTTATGGATGCACGCGGGAGGTTGCTAAGCAGGAAAGAAGCGTAAGAGTCGCTCGAGGCGATAGCCGAGAGCGACTCTAGCTTCTTGAGTGCTTAGCAAACCTCCCAAGTGCATCCATAACTCAATAGTGTACGCTGTGGTGTTTACCATTTGTTTAATAACATAATATTAACACATTGTAGCTAAAGAGTTCCCTTTTATTTAACAAATCTTACGTGACCAGAAAAAACAAGCACGCACGGAAAAATAGTCTTTGCATTAGCTCACGTCAGCAGCATACACCCATGGGCAAATGGGGACGCTAAATTGACCAATCAGAGCGCGCGCTTTACTTTGGTTATGTTATAAATTCCAGATTGCAATGACGCACACAAATTTGCTAAAACAGTGGCGTGACCGAGCCATCTCGGGACAGACAGAAGCACGTCGAGTTCTTGCTGAGATGCTCACCCCTTCTGGAGGTGCGCGTTCAAATTGTTACAAGTTCATATCCTGGGTGACGGGATGTAGCCACAGCACAATCGGCAGAGTGAATGAGCAAATGAAAGAAACAGGTTAGTTTTAATTTTTGTCTTTGCTTCTTTTTTATTAATAAGTTATAGTAAAGTTAAAATTTTTCAGACTACAATTTTTACTCACCACGAGCTCGTGAAATATTTTTTTTTTGTCCGCAAAATTTACTCCTGGTTATTTAAGCCAAATTACAATCAAAATAGATTGACTCGTGAATAAAAGTAACTCGCCATTTGCACGAAAGCTTAATTCAGACTAAGAAGATTGGTTTTACAGGCAGTTGTTTACCCCGCATGGTTTGCTATCTTTCGTCTCCCCCCCCCAGGCGGAGACAGGGAACCTCCTTCTCATGGTCTCATCAAATGGTGGCAGGAAAACCCAAAGCCTAAGAAACCCAAGGTTAAAGAACTAACTCAGGAACAGGCTCAGGTCGACACTGTGCAGCAAGTGGCATTGCAACAGATCCAGCAATCACTACCTCAAGTCAACATCCTACAAGCTGCAGTGAGTTCAGCTGGTCTATCCGCTGTCATGATGCAGCCTACCGTTTCGTCCGGAATTCCGGCACTAACCACAGTGAACAGCTCACAACTGGCGCAGACACAGCTGCTCCCCACCGTCACATTCTCCAATGGAACCATCCAAGTGCAGGGTGCACCCGTACAGGTACGGTTAGAGTCCGTATTGTAAAGATGGTGTCCTTGCTTTCTCGTTCCTTCTTTCAAATCGTGTATTTTAACTCTGTGATTTTAGATTCAAACCACTCAAGCAATACAAGTGCCTCAAGTTCAAGTGCAGGTTCAACAACAGCTGCAACAGCAACAGTTGCAATACCAGCAGCAGATTCAGCAACTGCAACTGCAACAGCTCCAGTTACAGCAGCAACAACAGCAGCTCCAGCAACAGCTCCAGCAAAACCAGCAACTACAGCAGCAAGCCTCACAGCAACTCCAAGCACACGTGAGTACTAAACCACCTCAGCTTAACCCTTTTACTCCTAAGGTCTGATTGATAATTCTCCCCTCTAGCTGCTATGTATTTCCTTGTAAATTAATTACGAGAGTTTGGTGTTAGATCGAGATAATAACTCCCATCTGATATGTTATATTTATCTCTTCTCCATGGGTCGTCACCTCTTAATTTTTCATTTTTGTTTCGCGCTGAATCATTTTGGCTCGTATGACGGACTTCGCCGACTGCTCGTAGTCTATGACAGACCCATTTAGTCGCCACAGCTTGTTTCAAGGTCCTTAACTTGACGTGACAATGGTATTATTACTTTTCCGGGGGGTGTTACCCCTTTGCATGGTACCTCTTCCCCTCCCCTTTCAGGGTTCCTTCAAATTCCCTGGACAGTTAGCTGTACCCTTTTCAACTCAAGCGCGGAGAGAGACATTATGAGATTTCGGTGCTTTGCCCAAGAACGCAGTGCAGTAACCGTGCAAAGGGTTCAAACTCGGCTAAGACTTCAGTTGGCCACCCGTCAAACCACCAGGTGGAGATTGTAATGGTGACTGAAAGTTTGTAGGGTGACTGAAAGTTTAAACCCCTGACCTGTTTTGTTGTAGGTTGTCCATCAATTGCAACCACAACCTCTGCAACCGCCGGCCTCTCAGCAACAGCAGCAGCAGCAGCAACAGCAAGTGCAGCAGCAGCAGGCTCCGCAAACACAACCGCCACCGCCACAACAACCACCACCACCTCAAGCTCCTCAACAGACAACCCAACCCCAGCAACAGCCTGTGCAGCAAGCTGAATCCCAAGAGACACCGCCTAACGTAACTATCACCATGGCAACGTCTAATACCTTGACAACGGCTGCGTTGCAAGGTAACTTGACTGCGTCGCAGGCAACGCCGCTGAACACCGAGAGTTTGTTTGCAACAGAGGCGTTCCACATTCTCAGTGCTGTACAGCCGCAGGTGGTCACGCTGCCCGTCTCGCCCCAGTCCGCAGTGGGTCAGGCTGTACCCGTGTCGTTGATCCAGACTCCTAACGGACAGCAGGGCTTGCAATAATTTGGGCACTACGTTGAAATGCGCTGCTGTAGGACGGGTTGGGAGAGAAACGAGATGATACGGCTCGCGTGATAAGCAGCAACGCATTTTGAGTTACCCAGCTAACCAACATGTGATTTCGCACAGACCAGCACACTGGAGAGATCCATGTATTAGAATCAATATTACAATCGCAAATTTATTTTAGTTTTATGAATGGTGTATACTGGCAAACAGCCCTTTTTTTTCATTTGTACAAACTTATGGCAGTTGGTAGTTAGAGACTTGATAATTGGTAGAATTGTAAATAATGGGCACGTCTACGTTGTAAAAAGAACCGACGAATGATGTACCCAGGGGTAATAATGCTGACTGAGGCCAAATCATGAAAAGGTTTAATCAAAATGTGTAGTACTGTAACCAAACTGTAGTTAAAGTAGACAACTGCATCATATAAAAAGTATTGAGTACAGGTCGCCAGTCGAATATTGTTCTTTATTGTATCTCTCAGTTAGAACGTGCGCTGTGATGGTCAGTTAAGTGGGCCTTATTTTACTGTACGACCTTCTTAATTCAAAGTTTGTTTTGGTCGCCGGATTTCTACCTGAAGATAAAATAAATATCTAACTAACCTCGTTTTCTCGGTCCGTACTGCAAGTTACGGACCTCGAGTACAGACCTCGAACTCTGTTGGTAAGAGGTATGTGCTCCTGAAACTGGTTGTCGCCCCAAACAAAAGCTTTTAAAATCGTGGAAGTTAATTAAAACTTATAACCCTTTGCATACTAAGTGAACACATATGTCCAGATAATACCGTTACTACTTTTGATACTTGTTTCTTGTTGAACTTAAGACACAACATTACGTAAGTGTGTAAATTGTACCGGCTCGTTGATGTGACATCTATTGCAACCTAAAACGCCGACAATGATTCCTGATTTTCATTGCAGGGAACCCTTCGTATGGCAACAAATCCCAAAGTCCAGCATTTTGCTCCAAGAGCAACACCAATAACATGTCGATCTTTTAAGACAAAAACTTGCTAAAAAAATCAAAAGTTTGCGTTCAAATCACACCTTGAGGTCAGATCTTGGAGTTTGGCAAGAAAATTCCTTCTCACTTTATCTGCCAGCCCTTGTTTCTCCATTTGATGAAAGCCAGTGTCGCGAACACAACCGTTACTTTGTTCATGCCGGAAAAGATTTCTGGGTAATTACGCCATAACTCGAAAAGGCAACTCCTATCATTTCAATTTCAAAGAATTATTAGAATCGTGTCGGGCCATCCAGTCCTACCAGCAAGATATCGCATCGATTGAAATTTTTACCGGTCAAAACTTGGCCACATAGCCTTGGTAGGTCCTGGAAGCCATCCACAGATGGGCCCGAGAGACAACTTCACTTCTGAACTCGCCAAGCTGGCAGTAAAGCATTTTTGGCGGTCCAGTCTACATGAAACCATCTCTCACCTCTGTTTTCCTTCAGAGGCTTGCCTCTATCCACATTCCAGCTTAATGATGCCGTCGTGAGGGCTTCTGTAGAGGGAAAATGGCTCGAAAAACACTTATAAACGGCCAGATAAGCAAGAAACCGAATCGATTTGAACGCATCCAAACACGAACTGTTGAACTAGGTGACAGAGCTGAATAACGTGCACGCATGCGCTAGATTTTGCCGCGGAAACACGGATTCTGAGTCGTTCCCATGAATGATTTCTAATTCTGTTGCTTGAGGTGTCGTTTTCCTTGCCGCTTTCTTTCACGGAACAACCTCCAAAAACTTGGTACACCCCATGAAAAGTTTCAAAAATTAATTTTCTCTTTAAAACCTCTAGAAATAGGAAAATGCCTTCGACGAAAACAGAGTTCCTCGGTTTTAGAAGTCAGCCCTTACTATTTTCCGCTAAGTTCGCTAAATTTTAGGCCTAGGACACTTGAGCCCGCGTTGTTGACGGCAACCCGCTGACGTAGCATTTCATCATTTAGCTCTGTCGATCTAGGTCATGTGACCCAAAGGTCTGAGCCCATGGTGTCTCAAAACCGCAAATATAGTAACGGATGCCCCATATAAGGACCAACGAAGTGAGGTTAAGTTTACATCGCCAAATTACAACTGAAAAAATATGGTCTTTTTCGTATTCAAAGGGTTAAACGAGCGGTTTAATCCAAGCTGTTGAGATTTATTGAGTAGTTTTATATGCACTCTAACAAAAATGCTTCATGAACAATTTCGACAAATCTTTACACGAGTAAATCTTAACATGCAAGTCTTCAGGTGCATCCTGTTGGTAACTGAATTTGTTAGCTACTGTACCAGCTACGCGTTTGTTAAGAACATCGAGTAAGCCTTTACAGCGCTTTTCAATTAGGCGTTTTGAAAACAAACCAATCGCGAATAACGAAGCTCGATCGAGGAGCAAACATTGCCAGACGCTTAGGAACTGAAAAGCATATAAACTTTGGGAAACTTTCAAACGTTTACATCTACAAGTATGGTTTTCGATTAAATTTTTGATTACGTTAATTTGAGAACCATCACTTCTAAATGTGTGTTCTAACATATATGTACCAAATCGGTAAATTTGAAATTTGACTCATTTCTAACGCCTAACTAAAGCCATCGTAAGAAGGTCAATAGGCAAGTCACATCAGTCATACCGCGCGTTCTAGACAAGACTTATTTTATGATTTCCGTAACTTGGTTCGTTTTAAGCTGCTCAGCCAAAGAAATTTTTGTTATCGGGTTTCGATCCAAAGGTGGTTACCCTTCAATTGAGAAAACCTTCCAGGGGTTAATCATCAATAAAAATAGTAGAAAAACCTAACTATTTAGCTCTCATGCTCTCTAAATCAAACTAAGTTTAACAAATGGATCAGTCGTTATGATCATAGTACAGGATACCGTTCGGAATACTTGTAAATGGAACGATTTTACCCAACACCGCGTCGCTATTGGTGATGGGAAACAATCTTAGTGGTTCTAACCAGTTCTGTGAAAGATGAACTTTTCTTATTGCAATTATTTTCAATTAATTTGTTAGCGAAGAAATTCGGTCGCAAGTCACATCGCTAATTAAAGAAATTTTGGTAATTCCTAGCTTTAGGTACATTTACACGTATAGTAATCGAAAAACGTTCGGTGTGACAAGTGGATTCTACACCAACGCAGTGGCGTGATATTCAAGGTCTTGATGGCACAGGGGGCCGACCAGGTACTGGTGGAGGAGGGTCTGGTTTGCCTGGCGCAGTGGGTCTCCTGTGGTAACAAATTAAAACAAACAAGTCGTTCACACTCGATCCTGATATGCTTCGTGTCAAAACGAAGAACTGGAGCCGATTGACCACGGCATTTATTACACGACTACGTTTCAAAGCTGCTAAAAGCGAGGAAAAGGGCAAAGTTACTTACCTAGGTACAGAAGGAACATTGTCTGGTCGGGATGGTACGCCCGGAACGGGTCGGGACGGTCGAGACGGGGGGGTAGGACTCGGATGACCCCAAGGCGCCCTAGGTACGGGAGGTTGTTTAGTGTTTCTGTAAGAAAAAAAAACTTTTTTTGTTTTCGTTCCTTACATAGGTGTGTGCTTCATGATATCCCTTAACGCTGGAGAAGGATGTTTTTTCGTCTTGTCCCGAGCATGGGATAAAGAAAGTTCTACGTACAAATAAAGATTGCCTTCGCTCTCGTTCCACTGAGCCACAGAGATTCCACGTTGAGCTAGGCTATTAGTAGCTTCAAATATTTACATTTTTAAATCTCTCGGATGCGCTCGGATGATGGAGCACAAACAAAATTTTTGTTAAGAATTTAGATGACATTGAAAATGGCGGTCTATGCGCGCAACGTCTTGTACTTTACTAGGATACTTTACTGTTCTTTATCGTCATGCAATCAGTCAGATTGTCCTTCTTTCGTCACCCCACTGCCTCATTGTTTCATTGGCAGATTCTTGGTGTCACGACAGAAAAAACTGCAGCCGCAGCCTCGCTCACAAGAAAAATCTTGCTGCTTGTTCTCTCATGAGACAAATAAGACAAATTCAAAAGAGTTGCTATGTAACTGGCCTGGCTTTGTTAAAAAAGCTAGAGAAATTTGAAATAAGCCAACTAAGGCGTCATCCTTAACCCTAATTTCTCCTTGCAATTGTATCCCGAATAGTCCTTTTCTACAGTTGTGGACTTGGTGGCCAAGCCTTTGAACAGGAGTGAGGCTTAGGGTGACCTTGTTATGACAGAGATGTTGCTGCTTTTCAAATGCAAATTACTTTGTTATCATGCTAACTAGATACAGGTCTCTATCACAACAGGGTCACCCTCAGCCTCACTCCTGTTCAAAGGCTTGGCCACCAAGCCCACAACTGTAAAAGGGACTATAAAGGTACCACGCGTAACGGGAATGATCACCAATTAAAGAAGCTTTTGATTGCCAAACAAATTCTCCTTGACAGCACCCTCAGGAAGTGAATAGAGTTCAGTAAGAAGAATATGCATACTGATGTTCAAGTAGGATGTAAAGGTTTGTCACCTGGGAGGCTTGTAAGAATCAAGTAAGTCGTGGTCCCCGGTGTCAATAGGAGGTGGCAGCGATGTGCTTACTGTATTCGCGTCTATATCGCTGATAATCCGTAGGGCTTCCTTCAAACTGTGGAACATGCGCAGCTTCTCCTCCCGACGAGCGACTTCAGCTTGGCTTTCTTCCATCAAGTCATTCTAAATGAAGGAGAAGAAACACATCGCATTTTTTTTCTGTCGCTTGATTGTATTTTTTTTTTTTAAATAGTCCGTTCGGAGCGGACCCCGACCCTGACAGAATCTGATCCTGCTGTAATTCAAATTATTAAGAAATAGACAGCTTTTTCCCGTTTTCTTTTTTTAACATCTTAGTGCCTTAGGTAGGCAAAATGTTGCCAATCACTCTCAGTAGCTGAGCAACTGCGCACCCACCCCTCCCCCTAACCCTACTTTAACCCTAAGCTATTATCAGTCAGCTGTTGTCAGGTTAGGGAGGGGTAGATGTGCAGTTGCTCAGATACCGACATTAATCCAATGTTGCTTACTAAAGCTTGTTTCGTATGTGTAGACTAGTCCGATACATGTACAATCCAGATCTCATCTGTCGTTCGACTTTGTCCTTACCTGGTTCCCACTCGAGTATAAGTGGGCCAACAGCTCCTGACCGATGAATTCCTTCACCTAGGTGTGTGTTAAAAAAAATAATAATAATAAAAGCATGGAATTGAAAATGAAACATTCCCAATCGTCAAATTTCTCGAAATTCGATTTTTTTAGACCTAAAGAAAACTTAGTAAGTGCGACCGAGATTAAATAGAACCGGTGAAAAGTCGAGTAGAAAAAATGCTAGTCCATCAAGCGTTTAGGCAGTTTTACAACTTAGGACTGGCCATGGAACGCACGACACGGTTTGGAAACCAGTTCGTTCGTTGCAACACAATACTCATAAAAATAAAATGCGCTGGAAGCAATTACCAGAAAAATTACTGCAAAAAATCGCAGCGTTAAAGTTGACAACAGCACCATCTACATAGAGTAATGACCACAATAGCGCGAGCTTACATTATTTACAATGAAGAACATAACAGTTTTAGGAACAAGGTCCCGAACTGTTTTGCTGACGATCTTGATGTAAGAATCTGCCAAGTTTCTTATGGTTTCCACTCGACGTTCCATCTGAGGATCCAAGGTGCCAATCTCACCTTGCTGCGCAAAGAGAACAAACAGAATGAACGCAGTGAGACAATTTTTTAGGGTAGTATCGAGAGTTAACAGGGTTTTGCCTCAATACGTTCAGCGATTGGTCAAAAAAACTCGCGTCAAGCTCTCCACCAATCAAGATAATTTGACTTTATCAACCCGCTGAGAATATAAATCGGCCATCATAAAGAGTTCCTCAAGCTCACGTTTCGAGCGTTAGCCATTCGTGAGAAAAAAGGGATGAAAGGCTAACCCCCGAAAAGTCCGCTTCAGAAACTCTTTACGGAAGCCAATTTACATTATCAACTTAGTTGATAAAACCAAATTATCTTGTTGTAAGCCTCACCGACGCAGCATCACAGTTTCTTTAGAAATTTTCTCCCACAGGGTATCTTACCCCTCTGATTGGCATGTGCACCAATCAGATGCAATCGCTACCCGATCACTTGCGTTGCTTTCACTTAACACTTTATACCCCGTTCTCTACACACTTTCTAAGGTGCTGACTGAAAAAGAGAATTTGTTTAACAATCAAGAGCTTTTCAAGTTGGTGATTATTTCCTTCATTCTCGTGACCTCACTGTATAATCAGGGATGACATCGTAGGGAAAAATTGGATACTAATCAGGTTTCTTTGGCTCCCTGTGATTTTTCCTTTGTACTTCTTTCCTTTTTTTATTCGGTCCTTACCATGCTCTTATCCTCTGATGTATCTCTCTCAGGATACACTCCCGCTCGAAGAAGCGAGGCTTTCCAGCTGTCTATAATGTCCTGGTTTTCCCCTGCAAGCTCCAACGATTTGTAGTCCTTAAATAAATTTCTAAACAAACAGTACAAAACAGTTAAACAGAACAAACGAAGCCACTGTCTTTCGTGAATTAAAGAAGATTTTTTCACCCGAGTAGAGCATCACCAAAAGCATTCTATTTTAACAGACTTGTTCTACTCAACTACAGCAGTATCAAGATGATGCATTATAACGAAACGACAGTCACTCGTATACGCTCCAGTCATTTTTTCTGCGACAAGCGAACACGGTACATAAACTGAAGATCACGTTCAAAGGAGCTCAACATCCCTGTTCCTCCGTAAGTTTTAGTCTTCCAAACGCACTTGGAATACAACAGTGAAAGGTTTATAATCAGCGGTGTTCAACATAAAAAAAAGAAAAAGATTTTCTTACTTTTGATCTGGATTGAAGATAGCAAAGGCAGCTTTTCGGGAAATGAATCCCGCCTCAGCATCACGCTGGCGCACATTATCCAATCTCAATTGATATTTCTGTTCCTTTTCCTGGTAATAAAAAAGATTGCAGGCACGCTATGGTGACTCAGTTGATTATAGACGCGCTCTGATTGGCCGAGAACTGCGATAGCCTTACTATGATCGTCCTGCTCTGAAAAATTTTACCGTAAGACGCAACAACTATTACATGCGGATGTTTTGGGAAGATCTGATAGTTTCTGAGTGGCATAGTTTTTTATAATATTTTTATGGGGTTAGATGTATTTTAGCTACTGGTAAATTAAACCAAGTAAGCGCGCTAGTATCACCACTGGGATGCGGGGCGTTCCACGGAGTTTTGCAGGGGTGTTCCATCTGTTTTCGCTGAATTGTCTTTGCCACTAATGGCTTTGTTCTCCTCCCTCCCTCCCACATTCTGATTAAGCATATGTATATACTCTACGCGTCAGTTTGTTGGTGTTGTGTTGATGGGGGCTTAACAATGAGCAGTGGCTCGGTTGCCATGACGACTTCCTAGCCACTAAGGAGAATGTTGCCTAAATCTGTCGATCTTTGTTCCGCAACCAACCTTCAAGACTACTGTCTTACTGTTTTAAATCAAGTTCAACAAACCTCCTCGTCCTTGTACCATGAAAGCGTTTCAGCTAAAAGAATACATCATAACGATTACCTTGACGTTAGCACTACTTAATAAGTACCTTATCAAAACCTTTACAATGTCCTCAAATGTGATTAGTGTGTAGCGTAGGGCCTGAGCCCGAGTTAGGTCGGACATACGCAGTTTAGTAGACTTACGACTCATGTTTCTCGTGTGTGAGTTTCCGAAAGTGAATATAACGTTAGCCGTGTCATTGCTTGTCTTGTTTGTGTTACAAGTGCATTAGCTACTTTATTTTTCATTAATTTTTCTGTAGACTTATAATCAAACAGTGCTATCGGACAGTTGGCTATATTCGGACACCTGTAATTGGACATAATCGCATCAAATTCACAAATCACAGACTTGATTACAACTATAGCACCACTTACCCTACAAATTGGGGAACTTTCAAAATGGAGGAAATTTTAACTTGTTTGTAACGACTATGTTTTGGATAACTGATATTGAAGGCCTTTCTCAAAAAAATGTATTTGTTTTACTCACAAATTGTAATGGTTATGATTAATTGGTAACAGGACTTTGTTTGATTGTGATTGACAATTTGGACTCCCGGTTCGCAGTCGTCCACTTTTGTATTCACTCACGCATGATTACAGAACGAATTAGACAGCACTCGGTTCTATTTCCCTTACTTATCAAGGTGTTATCAGTGAATAAGAGAGTGACACCACAGTAGCAGACAGTCATAGGGATTTATGACAGGATATCCACATGCACTTTAACTTATGCAACTTACCTGTAAGTATGAACCAGTACTCCTTGCTCATACCCTTCATAAATCCAGCATTGCTAATCGCGAGCCAACCTTTCCTAATCACCTAAAAGAACAAAAAGCACAGAAGCCAAATTAGAAGCAAAATGAGACATCACAAAAAAAAGTCAGCAAAAGAAAACAAAAAGTTACATAAATTATGTACTCAACTCAACTTCCAACTCAACTCAACTCCCAACAATAATAACTTTTATTTATGTAGCGCTCATATCCTGAGCGCATGACGCTTTACAACACTGTACGGGGGACTTTACCAGACTGCTAAGCAGTTTACAATCAAATAAAGGCGAATCTAACAGATGCCCCCTTCCTTAAATTCCCAGTAAACAGGCCAGACCACATCACAGTAATCTCGTGTGTGGGTTCTTTACCGTCCCCCACCTAACCAAATTAACTAATTAATAGATGCAGGAGACGGGACTTACGGTTTATTCGTCCTTATCCTAAACTAGAATGTCTATCTTAAACTAGAAGATCTATCTATTTCTTGAAGTTATAGAAAGGTAGCACATTCTCCTCAGTTATTTTTAAGACCCTAAGTGTTGGTCCGGCCGGGGCTGGAACCCCCGACCTCCCGCACAACAATCCGGCGATCAACCGATTGAGCTAACCGGGAAGCAATTAACATGTAACTTCCCCTGGATATATCCATACATTATCCAGCACATAATCATGAGAATACTTAACTTATCAGGTAGATGTTGTAATCTTGATCTCACTCCAAATTCTCATAACTAATTTGCAAAGAAATGTGTGGTAGCTAGAGGGTAGAATTAACAATCGGATCTTGGGAGTTAAAGATCAGGGGACAAGTCAAGTAAAATGACAGACATACCTGATTGGAGATTGTTCTTTTCGATTTTTTGTCACCAGGATTGGATTTATTTGAGGCTCTGTAGAGAAAATGCAAACAAATAAACCCTGAAATCTTGCACTGCATAAAAAAGGAGAACTCGGAGATAGTTTGAATAAAATCTTGTGTCAAAGACAGGCTGTTCAAGAGAGCTTTTAAGCTTGGTTACTGTAAAGAGCTTTTTTCCATTGAAAATGTTATTATTCTAAAAGATAAGAAGTTGTGGGACAAGATCACCGACAGCGATTTTACAACAGCTTTAGATGACCTTTTGCCACCAGAGCGACCAATGTTACGCTATGTAAGAGGCACCATAATTATATTCTCCCGCTTGTCCAAACTGAACATTTCAAGAGGACTTTTGTTAATAGATGTTTGTTCTCTTATTAGTTAGTCAGTTAGTAATTTAGTTAGTTAATTAGTTTTATACTTGCTAAGTTTATATCATTGTAACTAAACACGTTTGTTGTTTAGAGTGCTTAATAAATACTTTTATTATTATTATTATTATTATTATTAAATTTCATATATATTTTTTTTAAATCACCTTCACTAACAACACCTCACTTACTCTGCATAACCAATAAAATCAGGATGGTTTGTGTTAATATAGGCAAGCTCCATGTCAATAAATGTTTTTACCTGTGAAGATAATTTAAAGCGAATTACAACTTTATGAAAGTAGAACCAGCATGAAATATCATTATAGCCCCACACCCTCTCTGTTACAGTAAGTATGCACTCTTTGAATAAAACTGAAAAAATTCACCCAAAGCAACCTCAGTACCTGGTCCTTAGATTTGGCTTCTCCCTTTCTTCCATGTTCTACAACAATTTTCTCTACCTGGTTCCTCAGTCGAGGGTACTTGTCCATCTGCCAATTAAAACAATACATTATTTTAGATACTACATTAGATGTTAGTTGGAGGATTGTCATAGCCTATATCCCTGCACAAGAGTTGTTAGAATTGGAAAACATTACACATATTCCCACACATACTTTATCTTTAATATTGTTTGACACCAAAGGGATGCATTCAGAGCAGTCACTAATAAATGTCTTTTCAAATTCCAACTTCATTTTTTTTTCCTTAGATTTTTTCATTCATTTTTAATTTCAAAACTCAAATCCTTGCCACATGCTGATGATGAATTCAGTTTGACTCAGAGATACTCAAAACTTATTTCATTTTAAAAACTCTATAAACCTAAAAGTAACTGGTATTTACCAAACAGATTTCTATTTACTAAGTTTTTAATAAGCAATGGACTTGTAAGAGAGTGTATGTTGCAGTACGATTGCTGAAATTTACAATTTCAGTAACTTACCGGATCTGTACATTTCTTGATGACGTTGATTAATTCAGACATAACCATGTCGACACACTTTACAGCTGGACTCCTCAGTTTCTCAATCTGCCGCTTTACTATTGCTTCAAACGCCATATCAGGAGTGAAAAGGCCAACCCTATCAGGAAAAACCAACCACAACAAAAGTGTGCATGCCTATTTAGATTGCAGAAGATAGTCTGACATTATAAGCAATATAACACTCCTTTTTGAGAAGCAGTTGATAAAAAAGTCATGTACATTATTTTACCTGATACCATGGATGTTCTTGATGGCAAACACAATTTCCTTTCTGAGCTGTTTCTCATCAAATTCCACCTGAAATGTAATTAAAAGTTTCCATAACAAATCATCCAATTACAAAGTATGTACAATGCAGCAAAGTGCATACATCAAATTTAATCAAGACAATAATTATCACTTCTCCAGTTCTAGCTTGTGGTCTGGCTTCCCCTCTTTTCACTTTCCAAAATTCTAGACCATGAAAACTTTGAACTTCAAAAACCCCTTACTTATAAATAATATTATATGCTCGCCAGCATTATAAAATATCATCAATCAGAAACAAATAAAAATGGAGAGAAATCTACCAAAAGGATCTCAGGGACACAACTTAGTGAATTTTTCAGAATACCACTCTGTTTCAGCAAGAGGTCCTAAAAAGAACTGCCCCACCCACAACCAAACATGCACTTTCCATACAACTGAACAGTGCAGTAATAAAATCCAGCACCTCATGTTTACTGGCCACAAACAATCACTCAAATGAGCTCCTGAAGCAGTTATCTTATTTACCTTAACCAACTCATAGGGGAATCTCTCATGAAATATCCTGTTGATTTTCGCTCCACCTGAGAGTTCTTTGGTATTAATTGTATCACCAGATCCTTCAATGGCTTTCTCAAAATCTGCATTGAATTGCTGAATCATCCTGTTATAATATGAAAATGAACAGTTAAAAAGAGCAAAAGAAAAAGCTCAGATTTAAGAGTTAAAATTACCAAATGTAGATTCATGTATTCCAGAATAGAGCTGAAATAAATCTGATAAGCACTGACTGTCCCTGAGTTGTAATGTCCCTCAGTTGCAATGTCCCTGAGCTTGCAATGGAGATGCTGGGAAATTTCCTCCACTGTTACTTTGCATAAAAGTTTCCAGAATGATTGGAGTACTATAATTACAATTACTTTTCCTTTCCCTCACCATATATAAAAAGGCACAATAACTGTGTGATTATCAGAATTCTTGACATAAAATGTGAAAGGAAGTATACACAGTTTCTGTAAACTATAAGTTATCATAGAAGGAAAATTAGTGTTTGACTGAAACTGTAAGAGCATGAAAGTTATTTGCTCTTTCCTACAAAATATTACATCTTGAAGCTTAATAAACATGGATTTCAATATGGAGTTCAATATGTGCAGATCACGTTGTGATAAAAGAACAAAAGGCGTTGCTTCAAAACACCATCAAATAAACTTATTTAAATCTGTAAAACGTCTTAGTGTGAAAGATCAGGCTGCCATTATGTATAATGGTCATAATTTTAAACTGTGATAGGAATGTAAATTAGGTATCAGAAATCAGTGTTTATTAAGCAAAAGAAAATTTTAATTATTATAGGGAGAGCAGAAATAATTTGCAAGCTATTCCAGTTTCAAAGAAAATGCCCATTTTCCCTCTGAATCTGTGATGCCTGCAACATTGATGTCTTAATTAGGAACTGGGGGAATGGAACAGACCACAAATTGGGAACTAATAGTAACACTGAGTTCTCAATTTGTGGTCTGCTCCAATCCTCTAGTTCCTGAGACATCTAAATCAATATTGGTAATATTGTTATAATAGAGTACTCCATTCCCAATCACGAATGGTTTCAATTTGTTTCATGATATCAAGGTTCCAATGAAAGTGAAATTCACACTTTTAGGTACAGTGACATCACAGATTAAGGCGACCCTACATGTCATATATGTTTGGTTGGATACTCACTGCATAAGGGCTTTCGTCTTCATGGATGGGTCATCTGGATTATAATGTTCAAAGCCTTTGACTTCTTTTTCAAGTGTCATTATGTTCTCTTCAAGCATGCTTCGAAGGGCTGGTAAAGTTTCTCTGATGTGATTGGTTAATTGCTACGAAAACAATGATTGTTCAAAATTAACTGAGGAAAAGTGTTTCAGATCTGCAAAAATTAATAACATGTAATTATTACATGCACAGGAACCATACAAATTGCTTGCAGTTGAGTACTTGAACTTAATGTCATAAATATCAATTCTTGGAAACAATGTCTTCATGACTGTAAAATCTTGAGTGGAATTCATGTACCAGCTAAGGGGTAAAAAATCAAAGAAATAGAACTTACCTGGTTTAGAACTTTTTGTAAATAACCTGTTCCCATTTTGTCTGCAATATGCCTGAAAAGATTAAAAGAATGACAAAACTAAGAAATGCTATATTCAAAGGAACACAAGATATTTCAAAATAGTAGTACCGGTAATCATCATTACTTAGTTTAACAGCTCCCTCAGTGAGGCCTTTCATATTAAATTTGAATGTAGAATTAATTTAATATTCCAAATACAAACATAAACTGATCAAAAATTCCCACAGGTGGAGGTAAACAGAGTGTAGCAACGCTGTGAAAACCAGGAGTTAAAACCTAGGGGCAACCAAGAAAAATCCAAAAAGCAGTAAGGTGAAGGGCTTGAAAATTCTGGGATCACCACATCACAAGTCAAGAAGGATATCCTGATCACTCTTCTGGGCAGCTCCCAACTATTCAGTGGTCTCCAACTCATTAGAAAAAAATAAAACTCGATGGATTCTTTTGCATTCACAATGCATATCTCTACTTACCTGTAGGATCCATGACTGAGGAAAAATTTTCGCTCAGATGCGAGGGCTGATTTGATGTCTTTTCTACCATCTATGTCAGCTTGGCTTCTGTTTACCACACCAACATAACCTGCAAAGGACACAAAAAAGTCTAGAAATTTGCACAAAAATCCTAATTGTAAATGCATAATTATCATATATTACCTCTCCTTAAGGGAAGGACTCTGTTCTCAAGAATTTCTCTGGCATCTGTTCCTTCATCCATAAGATCTAACTTAGTTATCACTCCAATTGTTCGTACTCCTGGAATAAAAATCAAGAACATACACAAGCTATACATAAAATGGAATAGAATAGAATCTTTATTTATACATCAATAAGAATTAAAGCTAAAAAGCCTGTGGGGTTGTGTACTTAACAAAATAATTACTCAACCAATTAAAAACTATTAATTACGATTAAAACACATTTACATGTTGATCTTTACATAATAGTCCATTTTACAGTTGCATGCTTGGTGCCAAGTCTTTGAACATGAGTGAGGCTGAGGGCAACCTTGTCATGATACAAAGGTTGCTGCTTTTCAAGTATAAATTACTATGCTAACTAGATACTAGACTCTATCACTACAAGCTCACTCCAAATCAAAGGCTTGGCAACTGGGTACACAACTGTAAAATGGCCTACAAAATAAATGTAATTTTTACAATGTCCAGATTTACCATCGACCCTTTGTTGTTTGTAAAGAATAACTAGGATATCAAGGATAAAAATTTTCAAATCAATAGTAATTAATTAACATAAAAGGAGAAAAAGTTTGAAATTGCTAACTTTATTTTGTTGTAAAGATAGTCAACCAAACTACTCATAGAAATAGATTGAGTACAGTTTTTTATGCATGCACAGAATTTCAGAAGTACAAGAACCAAGAAAGATAATCCATATTACCTTCGGGATCAACCTCTTTTGCAATCTTTAATGCATCAGAGTTGGCCAGATCTGAGTTTGCAGGGGATACTGCTAACACCAAGCAGTTTGGTTTGGTGATGAACTGAAACAACATACTTCTAATCTGCATTTCGATATCTGGAGGCTGATCACCCACAGGTACTTTTGTCATGCCAGGAAGATCTACTAGCGTCAAATTCAATACTACAAAAATACAAAGTAGAGTTCTTCGGATAAAGGTTTTGAAAAAAGACCCAGGGCCTTCCATAATGTGAATTAAAGCAATTTCGATGCAATACCAATAGGTTGAGACATCAGAGATAACTCTTTTGTAAAGGTTCTGACAAAATACCAAATAAGAAAACTTAAGAAAAATCCTGGGAAAGAGTACCATAATTATAACCCCATTCATTAATTATGTATTCCACTTCTTTGTCTTTCACGAGAAAACTTTAAAAACAAAGTCTACTAGTCTGAATGCATAATTAATGTATGGGGTTATATGGTACTCTTGCCAAATCCTGTACTTGACATACCACATTTATAGCATTGTGCGATGCCTAACCCGCAAGACTAATCATTTTCAACCACTGACTCTGGAAAGTTGCATGGTTCATTAACTTGTAGAACAGACTCCGCTCGAAAGGAGTAGACAACCTCAAGCACCATACAAATCCCTTATTCTCAACATTTATACCACAAATGCATCTTATAGCCACTAAAATCACAGCTTAATGGACCATTCAATTTACCCAAACTGGGCCTATAACACTCTACTGACAATATCTTCACGAGACTCTGATGATGACTTCTGGTCAGATTGTCTAAATGTCAGTCACTGCCACCATGTAAAGTCAATCTGAGAGCAAACTTCACCCGAGCAATCAGACTACACTATCAAAAAATTATTAATGTTTCACCATTGGTTTGTAATCAGTTAAGACAAACCCTTGATAAGAACGTTGCATACCATGAGGAGAATACACTCGTAGGTTAATTGGTATTGACGAGATTCCTTTGTTGCTACCAGTTTCCCTGTCAGTCTCTGCAACAATCTCTTTTCTCACTTCTTCGAAATCCACAAATTTCTTTCCCTTGCAATGAAGGAATTCTGCCCACTCTAAACCAAAAAGCACAGACCGAAAAATGTGCACATGTAAAAATAATGTTAATATAGTTGAGAGATACATTTATAAAATAGATTTATTAATTCTCTTGATTAAATTTGATTATGATAGCGTTTGTCTTTCCATTTCCTCTAACCATTTTCCACAGTTTGTCTCTGAAATGTAACTGAAATTTCGTCAAATTTGCATGAGGGTTGTATCTCCAAAAGAATCTCGGACGTTGTTGCATATTTAATTCTAAACTATATTTTACACATTTTAGTATTCTATCACAAATAATTCAAATCGAAATGAGCAGATCAGTTATATTTATAGCGTGTAACGTAATCCTGATGAATAAATGTATTCGTAAAATTATAACAAACAATCATGAAGTACAGTAAAATACGTTGATCGTACAATTGCATGGTTTTAGCGTTTATGAAAGCATCGATTAACGGGCTTTGTTATCGAATACCAAATTCAAACAGCCGTACACTGTGACTTGAGTTCAACGTGTCACCGGAAAGCTAGTTGATTTCCCGTCCAATTCTATTCGCCATTTTGAAGCAAGCTAAAGTTCAATGAAAAAAAAAAAGACAAACCTGTCTTGGCAGGATGGAGTTGTAGTATTAGCGGCCTTCTGGTGACAATTCCAGATCCTCTTGGGAGAAAGTCCCTACATGACAATGCATCAATTTTAAGGAGAAATCATACGAAAAAGAACTCAGTTGTACCATAAAAATAAAATGAATGTCCTACCTGCCCACAAAGTTTTCTAGCACACTACTCTTGCCAGCACTTTGACTTCCGACCACGGCGATCTGCGGTAAATCTACGTTCGAAGGCTGCCCAATGTGAGCGAACGCATCTTGAATTTTGTTCATAACGGGAATAAGGTCTTCCATACCTCTATTCCCCATCTTCGAAACGAATATTGAAAACAATCTGTACAATTTACAACACTCGAATGACACTTAAATCTCTCTCGTCCTCTCGCCCACCTCGGATGACCTCGGATGGTAAGAGTGTCCTGGGAACAAAGGTTGAAAGTTTTCGAGCCCAGAGTCTTCTTCCCTTTTCAATCAGCGGAAATCACCTAAAGCCCCAGAAGACATTTCGAAGAAATGGCGGTATGTTCAAAGTTGTGTTCAATGGTGTTCAAATGGACTTTCCGGAAGTGCAGTCTGCCTTACATTCCTTTCACACAAATTTTTTTTACAGGAGAAAAAACCATTCTGCTGTACTTTCGAAACAATTGAGCAGGGAAGTTATCCCGAGGGATACAGTAAATTGCATCGTTTCAATACAGAGCAGCTTCTAGCTTCTAAAATTTGCGCGTGACAAGTACGGCCTGTGCTTGAAAGGTGAGGATTAACTAGTCGTGATATGGGTGAACCGGCTGAAAAAAATACCTTTAAGCCAGAGAAAAAGAGAGACTTATAAATTTAAATATAACTAACTCGGCTTATGCATCATTATGCATCATGGTAATCGTGAACAATTTCCATTCGCATTGTTAGGTCACTGAACTTAAGAATTATTCACGTAGCGCCGTAGAATTAGAAGAGCGACTGTTGTGTCATCCAGTAAAAGGGCCACACTCCATTCATTGTCACTGTAGCTAAGACTTTGTAAGATTTGAAAGACATACCAAAAAGTCATGTTGAAGTAGTATTTCTCAAAGAAAATGTGATTTTTAAATCGCTTTTACTCGATTATATTATCCAGTCCCCTGTGACCTACCCAGAGTGCACTGCGCGTCAAAATGCCGGCTAACATGTGGTGGTTTTGGTAGAAGGGTCCTTGCAAGCGTCAGGTATATGCGATATGGGAGGGAGAGTGGAGAGAAGGACGGAGATCTTAAGATCTATTTTGTGCTCGGTTGAACCTATTTAGTTGAACCTTTACTCTTCCTCCCTCGAAAGAAAACCATGTATTCTTTTCCTTTCTTCAGATTGCCCACAGTGGCAAAATTTGTGTCACGAGGAAACATGCTGGTAGTAAACTATACATACGCTTGGAAGGTTTGGGTGAGTAACCTTGAAATTTAAAATCAAACGAAAGCAATTTCTCCACCTTATTTTTTCTCTTCTCCAATTTTTCCTGTGTTCTGATTCCTCCATCAGAGTATGTTTTCCGCAGAAGATTAACTTTCCAATCAATTAAGTCTCTTGATGGGGGTAGCATACTGAACTCATGAGGGGGTGGAGGGGGAGTTAATTTGGCTAACGTAAAGAGTTTCCAAAGCTGATGTTTCGAACGTTAGCTTTTCGTCGAAGCAAAACTAAACCTATCTCCTTATCATTCATGTACAGAAAAACCGGGATCCGTTACACATTGTAAGGATTGGGAAGACAAGTTGATCAGATAATCATGATATCTATGTGTTAAATACGATATCGTGACAAAAATGATAATTATGATTGGTTTAAATACGTTTGGCGGATATTTCTGACGGAATCGTAAAACGATTTCCACTTGCATTGAACAGCTTAAAAAGACCGACGCACATCGAAATTAGAACAAGTCTGTTTGTCAGTACCGTTGTACTTATGTTTATTCGGAAATTTAAACGAACGTCAAAACAAAAGAAGGCATTAATTAAGTTCCAAATACCTCCCCGAACAACAAAAACCAAATATCGACTCACCGAACTGTTCGCTTTAGCCAAAGAAAGGCACAATAACTTCTCTCAAACTCTCTCCTACATAAAAACTGGAAACACTCGCTCACCCAAGCACATGGCGATTCAAGCTTAAAGGTGTCATGTGACTAACTAAATCTCCCAAGGGAGTCGGGAGTGGCACTGTTCGATATAGTTGTTCAGTAGTTGGTTCGTTTCAACGCATTATTTAAAGACAATGAAAGGGATTGAACACTCATCAGCCCGCCAAAGTTGAAATCTTGCCAACAATGGCTGCTTTGATTAATTAAATCACAGCCTGCTCAATTGACCAATCACAGCGTACTTAGTAATTGAGGAATACAATAATATAAAATGACGTTCAAACATAGTTAATCTATTAACTATGGTTCAAAGTACTGACTAATTCACGTTGATAAATTTTACGTTTGACCTATTCTGTGACTCGAGCATCCAGGCCTGTTGGAACCAAGCCTTTTTAACGACGATTCAATTAATTCTTCGTCATTAGATTCCTCCAGCACGCTCAAAAATCTACCAGTTTCTGTTATTTCTGACGCGAAGCTATCTGACAGTTCTTGTCCGTTGATACATGAAGTATCCACCATCGACCTGCACTCTGCTACTTCGTTTACAACAAGAAATAGCAATTTAACGTTGCGCTCATGAACTTTTGTGAAGAACTTAATTCTTCTTCGCAAAGCATTTTTTACGGTGCCTGATTTTTCGATTAACACTACAGAGGGCTCCACATCTATCGTTTCGCTTTTGTGTCCTTCGTAGTCTCCTTTTTGTTCCGGTTCCAGTGCTTCTATATACTTCTTTTCATTTTCAATGATCGCGTCAAGCATTTCGTGAGAGGAGTTAAACTTTCCAAGAAGCTCGTAGAAGTTTTGTCGACTCTCTGTCGTGCATATACCCCGTATGTACCTTAGTTTCCACAACACGACCTCGTTATGCAGCTGTGTTTGAATCTGTTCCATTTTCGATAAAAGCTCCTTCGCTGTCCGCGCCAAGCTTGTACACTTCACATCAGCACAGCATCGGGATCCGTTCCTTAAGACATCCTGCTTAAGAGGAAAATATTATTTTTTAGAAATAGCTAGTCAATTGAATACAGCCCCTTTACTGCTAAAGGTCTTATGACCTTAGGGGTTCCCAGCTGTAGTTTCTCGATCCGAAGTCCGGCGCATTGATTTAGCAGGCTACCGTGTCTCCCAAACCCATCATGTGAAATGAACTTAAATGGAGCATCAGCTAGGCAGACCTCTAAGCCCAGTTTTCTTCAAAAGTCCTAAATGTACGAAAATGTGTAACTTGCTTAGACTTCAGACCATAAAAACTATGGTAAGAAAACTCAACGACTTGATACATGACCGTTGATACATGACCGTCGCCAAGTTAGCAATTTGCACAATTTTTTTCCTCTCGTCAAAACACCGTCGCAGTTTGAAGCACTTTTAGGAGCCGGAGCTAAAATCTTCTCTTTGGCTCTTAAATAGGTACCAATTTATTTAAGAATGGTGTTGTATGCATCTCTTTTAAACCCGAGTTAATGGCAAGACTCTTTGAGAGAAGATTACTCTATAGTACAATTTACACAAAAAAAATGACTCCTAGTTGGTCTCGAAGTTATAATTCTTCGACGCCTGGACTTCACTTTTAATTTTCTAGTTGGATTAAGATGTGTTTCTTATGCTGTTCAAAAATTAATTTTGAAGACATTTTTAATTCTTTTTAAACACCTATAAGCTCTATGGTGATCAATGGCAGAAATATTGAGCTAAATCGGTTTGATTGTAATCATAGGAATGCACAATTTAGTGCCAGTTCATTTCTATCTCATTCCCCTTCTGGGAGTCGAATATTATAACAATAAAAGCGAATTTTTTCTCTCTAGATTTTTTCTTTCTCAGTTTTATGTACTCTTTTGTTGGTCAAACTGAACCTTAATGAAAACTTCCTTCATCCTTCTTTATTCATTCAGAAAAGCACTGGTTACTACAAGGAGTCTAGCTTGGGAACCTGGCCAAGTACCTGTAATGTCATACAATCTCACTAATAGGTGATTTATTACAAAACGAAAAACAAAAGAAGCAACATCAGAAGTCAAACTCTTCTGAAGTCAAACTCTTCTGAACGTTAAATGTTTTCCAGCGAATGCGCAGGTGTGCGTTCCAATTTTCATTTGAACTGCTATACGCTCGGTGGAAATAAGCCCCAGACGCATATGTTACTTAATGCCACTAAAAACCATAGTGTTTCTTCACACATACAATATCGCTATGTATCCTCGACTTCAAGTCCTAAACTAAAACCAAATGTGAAGATTTAATGGTATTCCCCAATGGGCCAATTAAGGGAAGGCATTTGATTGGCAGTACTGATTGGTAATAAGAAAATTATCTTCATTTAGACATCACAAAATTCTGAGTGAAATTAAAAATTTACGCAATAATTAAAAATCAAAGATGGAATTGATACCGATACCCAAATACATCGCGCCGAAAGCACGCACGAATTTTGGGAGGCGTAGTAAGTGTCTCATGTTTATTCGAGAGTGTGCTCCAGTTTGTTTGCTCTCTTTCACTTCCATACTGATAATTTAGGAGAAGAAAAATGATTAGAAATGTTTTATCCCAAGGCTGTGAAAAAAAATTGGAATTAAATTTTCTTTTAGATATTTTTCAAAAGAATTACGTTCGGTATTAAATACAGTTTTCTTTGCCCGATCTCAAACTGATGCCAAGTCAAGGTTAAAATTTTTCTACCAAAAATCTAATGATAGGCTCGAAAATGCTTCGACAGCGAGAAATAACTGATTTATGGCACAGCGAAAAAAAAAAACAAAAAAACTGAAATTGCCGACTGAAAATTCGATACAGACGGAAAGACATAGGCACTTATACTACAGTCGCACTCCAATAAACAATTTACCGTCAGTTTTGAGTAGCTCTCCTGTTGTTCTTTCTGAGTAAGTGATGGTTTTTCTTTTGAGAATGGAAATCTGGAGAGAATTCGCCAGCAGAGCGACACAATCGTTCCCATGATCAACTGGCAACAATCACCTGGTGTGCAGATTCGAGACGCGCCGATCAGCTGCCAAGGGATGACTTGCTATATTTTTAAAGACTGTCTCGCGAGAGCTTCTCAAGCGATTCGGCGCAGAATACGATTAGATTAAAGCACAAACCACTCAATAGTGACACTGCGCATTTACTTTTAACGATAACTTATTTATCCAATCACAAAGCTAGCTCCAGACCTAAGTGACAACATGGAATGACTTGGTACAGTTTCGATAATACGGACCTTTAATTTTCTTTATATACTTTCACACCATTCTTTATGAAAATTTTTTCTATAGGAAATTTTCGTTTGGTAATGTTGATTAATCCTGTGGAGTGCTCCCGAAATGCATGTTTTGTAGAGTTCCGAAAGGTACTGAATTAAGCGAATCAATTTTGACCGGCTAATATGAGTAATAAATTTGGGTCACGGGTCTAATGCCCGAAACAAGTCGGACTTACGCGGCCGGTTTTACGTTAACTCTGGTGTTTCGCGTTAACTCCGGCGTTAAATCTGTTGAAGTTCGACTGACTTTATCAACAAATCGGTTGAACCGGTAACACAAGCCTCGCCGAGTGCATAATATTTCCACCCGTCGTTAAATGGATAAAGGTCGGCACACACGAGGGGACTAGTCCCTGCGACTAGTCCCAGCGACCAGTTTCATGCGACTAGTCCCTTCGTGTGAACTACACATTTCTGTGGTCGCAGGGACCAAAATTTGGTCCCTGCGACTGGTCGCACGAATTCAAACTGGTTTGAATTCGTGCGACCAGTCGCAGGGACTTGTCGCATGAAACAAATGTTTGTCCCTTCGTGTGAACTGTTTGTGCGACCAGTCCCTGCGACTAAACGGTAAATAAGCCAATCACGGGTCAGTATGATGCGTGACTTCCGGTATTTGTAAACATTGCAGTTTCTATGAATTTTCCCTGAATTCTAGATTTCTACAACTGAAGAATAAAAAACTATTTCTAGTTTTGTAAACATATACAGATGTCTTGGAGCCGTTTTGATGGAATTTTTACCCTATTTGACTCTGTGTCTGTTAAAAATAAATAT